CCAGGCCTCCGAGGTGATGCGGCGTCAGGCTTTGCCCCGCACACGGCGCGGCTGTCGGGATGCAGGGAGTGAGGACGCACCTTGCAGGCTTGTGCCTGATGCCTCTTCATCTGCTGCTGTCTGCTCGCTCGCAGAAGCCCTTCCAGGGGAGCCCGAGTCTCTGGTAGCCACTAGCAGCGCTCGGTTTCCCGTTCCCATCCCTAGAGACATTTCGCCAGGGGAACCTGCCAAGACAGCTTGGCATGGAGAGAGCACAAGGGTAGCAGAGCCGCCCTCACCCTGCGCTCATGCCAGCCTCCCTGCTGCAGCACCTGATGCCACCGTAGCCTCTGGGAGGTGCGTGCCCACGTCCCCACGGGCAGGTAGCATAGAGCTCCCCCTCGAGCGGCGGCACTTGTCCGAATCCCCCCCCCGCCCCAGCAAGTCGCAAGCCGAGCCTGCTGCACTGCGCGAGAAGCGACTGCAGGCTCTTACCAGCCTTTTGTTCAGCTCTTTCCTGCTTCAGGGGCGGGAAGGTGGCGTGAAAGTCTGGAACGAGAGCAGACGCAGCACATGAGCAGGCTCGACCATCTCCCGCCCAGGGCACGCAAGCGCGGAGCAGGCGCGATACTCACCGAGGAAGGGAAGGGGAAGGAACGGGTGGCCAGCGTCTGCAACGAGAACCGTGTCAGAACTGCAGGCATCACAGCCCTCTGCTCACGGGGCTGAGGAAGGTTACTGGGCCAAGCAGGGCAAAAAAAGCCTTACGTGGTACGAGAGAGGGAGCGGGAGGCACTCCAGCGACTTGGTCCAGACGAGCTGCTGGGAGAGAGCAGAGAGGAGAGATGCGCAGTCTGACGGGAGCTGTGGGGGAACCCAACCAGCCCAGGGTCTGCCTCGCCTGCCACGGCCAGCCCCGCAGCCCGACATGCCCTAGCCATAGCTCCACAGCGCCTTGCCGGCCCTCAAAGCGTTTTACAAGCTAGATACAAAAGCAGGAGTCACTCACCCACCACTGCAATGCAGCCACCTCTGGGGTGGAAGGCAGCAGCTGTTTAGCAGCGCACAGCAACGCTACACAACAGATTAGGACAGGAGTGAAGGAGAATCCCACATCCACTTGAAACTGCAGGGGGAATTTATGGAGACAGAACGTAATTATCCAGTACGGAAGCTGGCCAGGATGCCGGGGTTCGCTCCCTGGCGTTAGCGAGGGGGGAGGCGGAGGGATATGAAGCAGCCAAGGCTTTCCCAAAGACTCCTGCAGCGCAGTACCCTGGAAATCAGGATCAATCCGAGATATAACCCTTCTGATCCTGTTTGCTCATGTTTGCAGGGGAGAAGTTTAACCTGCTTCTGCTTTGGAGGCCTAATCCTTGCCAGCTAGCGAGCAGGCTCGGGGAACAGCATCTGCTTCCTTCATCTGCTCAGACTAATCAGACGCAGGGACGCACCCTGGATCGCCTGGGTGGCAAACCTCCCAAGCAATTGTCTGGGTGTGCGCACAGCAAGGGAGGCGCAGGATCTCTGCCTGAGTATGCTGCAGGGCAGGGGCACATGCACTTTGGGCTCTGGCCCTCATACTCTCTCCAAACTAAGTTTTACAGCGTTGCTGGGGAGGCAGAGGGATCCAGGACCTGCTAAAGTGGAGTCACATGCCCTGCATTGCCACACAGCCAGAAGAGCCACCTCGACTGGATCAGGGCCACCGTCCCCTAGAGGCCTTGAGCCCCATCACCTGCCCCCTGACCAGCCAGCAATCTTCTCTGTGCCCTGAAGCTGGGTCAGAGCTAAGGACCCTTCCTTCCCCATCCCACCCTTCCCCATCCCTTCACACCCTGGGGCTGGTTTGGAGCCAAAGCCTCTGGAGGGACAAGTCCCAACATCCCCATTCTGTGTCCAAGAGCATCCCTGCCTAGGGACCATACTGCAGCTAGTCCCTCCTGGGAGAAGTGCTCCTCACTCCTTAAGCCCATCACGTTCCCATCATGCTGGAGCGGGCTTGAGCTGGAGTCATGGCCATGCAGCCCAGCGCAGCAGGGCAGACCAGTACTTACGGCTCGCAGGCTTGTCCTTCGTGCACTGCGGTGGCGGGGACGGCAGCGTGCCCAGGGCATCTGTGCAGGTGACGTGCTCTGCAGAGAGAACAGCAGGGGAGGTGCCGTGGAAAGAAAAGACCTTCAGTAGCAGAGAGGAGGGATCCCAGCCACCCTGGGGTACAAGAGCCAGACTGTCCCAGACAAAGCCCCACATGGACTGGTCCCAGGCCTGAACCAAGGAGCACATCCAGCTGCTGCCCAGCGCAGCACCACAAGCCAGCAGTCGGCAGGAAGAAACAGAGAGGGAACAACTCAGGGAGGGTCACAACTGTCTGCATCCTCGCCTCCAAGCCCTCAAAATCATGTAACCTCTCCCCAACCCCTCTGAAATATAAAGATCATCCTGCAAGTCAGGACAGACCCCCACCTTCAGCCACCCTAGCCCGTGGGTACCTTGCAGCTCAGGCGAGGATGGAGAGTGGTCCTCGAGGGGTGGCCTGCGCTTCCTGGGAGGCAACTTCACCCGGTCTAGGAAGAGAGAAAGGGATCAGACAAGAGGCAGTAAAGAGCACCGAGCTGGCAGCGCGGAGCAAGCTCCTAGCGAGGAGCAGCGCTACTCCAGTCCGGCACGCCAGCAAGACAAGGGCTGGGGGCGCAAAGCCCATGCCAAGCAGCCCCGCTACCCCGCTGGCCCAGCTGCAGGCTCTCCTCCTGCCCCGGAAAGGCTCGCCGAACCGTCGGGAGGGGCCCGACCCACCTGGGAGACGCCCCT